GTAAGTTTGTGGTAATTTATACATCCATTGAAATCTAGACAATGTGTTTCTTCTAATTTATTCTGCACGTGTCTCTCTCTCTCTGTGTGTATGTGTGTGTGACATGTGTGTGACATGTGACACACACATACACACACACAGAGAGAGAGAGAGAGAGAGAGAGAAAGAGAGAGAGAGAGAGAGAGAAACTAGGAAACCACTTCATTAGCTTTATGAAGGAAGCTTTGTAAAAAGCAAAGTCCAGGAAAACTCCAAATTATCTACCTGGTGTTCACATAGAGAATGGATTCTCAGTTATCAATTAATTGGTAAATGCTGGGTGCTCTTTATATCCCCAAAGGGTGAGAGACCAAGGGTGAGGAGAAATGTCTAACACCAGCCTCGTGACTGAGTTCATCCTCATGGGCCTTCCCCATGCCCCAGCGCTGGACGCCCCACTCTTTGGAATCTTCCTGGTGGTTTATGTGCTCACTGTGCTGGGGAACCTCCTCATCCTGCTGGTGATCAGGGTGGATTCTCACCTCCACACCCCCATGTACTCCTTCCTCACCAACCTGTCCTTCATTGACATGTGGTTCTCCACTGTCACGGTGCCCAAAATGCTGATGAGCTTGGTGTCTCCAAGCGGGAGGACTATCTCCTTCCACAGCTGTGTGGCTCAACTCTACTTTTTCCACTTCCTGGGGAGCACCGAGTGTTTCCTCTACACGGTCATGTCCTATGATCGCTACCTGGCCATCAGTTACCCGCTCAGGTACACCCGCATGATGAGTGGGAGCAGGTGTGCCCTCTTGGCCACCAGCACTTGGCTCAGTGGCTCCCTGCACTCTGCTGTCCAGACCATATTGACTTTCCATTTGCCCTACTGTGGACCCAACCGGATCCAGCACTACTTCTGTGATGCACCGCCCATCCTGAAACTGGCTTGTGCAGACACCTCAGCCAATGAGATGGTCATCTTTGTGAACATTGGGGTAGTGGCCTTGGGCTGCTTTCTCCTGATAGTGCTGTCCTATGTGTCCCTTGTCTGTTCCATCCTGCGGATCCGCACCTCAGAGGGGAGACTCAGAGCCTTTCAGACCTGTGCCTCCCACTGTATCGTGGTCCTTTGCTTTTTTGTTCCCTGTGTTGTCATTTACCTGAGATCAGGTTCCAGGGACGTCATGGATGGAGTTGTGGCCGTTTTCTACACTGTGCTAACACCACTTCTCAACCCTGTAGTGTACACCCTGAGGAACAAGGAAGTGAAGAAAGCTGTGTTGAAACTGAGAGACAAAGTAGCATATTCTCAGGAAGAATAGATACTAGGAAGTAGATACACTAGTTTGTTTTAAAATAGTAATATAATTTAGTTATTCATGTGAAATTGATTATATGTATAGTTCTCAGTGTTAAACATTATTCCAAAACACCTGCACAGTTATAATTCTTCCACAAATTTTCTAAGAGAGTTTTAACATCACAGCTAGACTTGTATTTATGAGGAATATGCTTATATTCTGATTTATTGATTCATTTCTCATCAATAGGTTCATATTAATTTAAAAAAATATTTTAATCGAATCTCCAAGATAGATGGTCGAGTCATTCATGTTTACAACTTGATAAAAAGCTTTTGTGTTTTGTTTGATTTCTTGTGCACACAAACTTAACAATTTACTATTATGGAGACATTGTTCAAAAATAGCAACAAATATTTGAGGTCATTTTTCTAATTGTGGTTGTAGCTGTTCAAATTTCTTTTTGGTTTTAATGTATTTGTATATACAAATCCAAACATGTATACAAAAGAAAGTATGCAACATTTAGCCTATTGAACATACAGGTTTTCACATATTTATGTATGCATATGTATCTGTCTATTTACATATATGTATCTGAAAACATTTCTAGAAACACTATTTTTAATGGGCAAAAATAGCAAGCTATTAATATTTAAATATTATCAGTGAATCAAATAGAAATTGTGTGTTCACAGAATAGATTATCATCCAGCAATGATAATGTATGATCTACAGCTACATATATAATAGTTTATGTACTTATCACAAACACCCATTTTTTTATGTTTGTTAAGATTCAATATAAAACATTAAATCTCTTAAATATCTAGATCACTTGGGGCTGTTTTGTCCCCCAGTACATTTGGTAATGTCTGGAAATATTCTTCCTTGTCACAGGCGCTGGCATCTAGTGACTAGAGGTCAGGGGTATTAAACATTCCACAGTGCACAGGAGAGACCCTCACAACAAAGCTTATCATGGCCAAAATGTTGATAGTGCTAAGGATGAGAAACCCAGAGCTGAATTTAATTTTAAGTAACATGTGTAAGACCACGACAATAGAAATAAAATATTTTCAGATAAATATAACATTTCCTGAACGAATTTAAGATTACAACGGGCACACAGAGACTCATATTTTTAAAATTCCAATTCTATTCAAATAGATCTATACATTCAATACTATTCCAAGTAAAATCCCAGCATTTGATTTTACAGCAATGGACGTGTGGATCCTAAAGTGTGGATTGAATAAGTCCCCAAATGGTCAATATTATCTTGAAGACATAAAACTTAACTGAAATATTGACAACACTAGTTATCAAAACTTGTGACAAAGCTACGGTATCTCAGGAGTGTCGTATTTGTACGGGGTTAGACAAATAGAAAATTGTAATACAGCATACAGAAATAGACTGATACATATTTGTATGACGAAGATAACACTGCCGAGCAATAAAGCAAGATTGCTTTCTTCAATAAATTATGTTCAGGTATCTGAGTATTCAGAATAAAAAAATTAGTCTTGACCCTGTGTCATACTAGACACATAAAAGACTCAATTATAGTAGATAGGAGATATGAATGTGGTGGACTGTCTGACACTTATTTATGTAAGAGATTTTATAGGAGTGCAAAACCCTCTTGGAAAAAAAGTAATTAAAAACATATTCTTAAAGAAAAGAAACAAACAGAGGAAGCTAATCACAAAAATAATACATGAGACTAAAGTTATTACATTTTGAAATAGAAATTTTGCCACTCATTTTCTTTGATGATAATATAATAAAACTAGAGGTTAATATATAGAGTGTAAAAGAGAATACAAAAATAATTGGGAACTTAAACCAAATTCCTTAAAAAAAAGTTTCAGTTAATGACGTAATTACAGCTATAATCCCAAATTATATAGAAAATAAAAACATCCTTATGTCACATATAAAGTAAAATTAATTTTAGATGAAGTAAAGATTTAAATGAAGGAAAAAACTTAAAACATTAAATATTACATAAGTGAATACTGATAAACTTGTGTATAAGAAAATGGTCTCCATTTTTTTATTTTTATTTTTTATTTTGACAGGGTCTGACTCTGTTGTGCAGGCTGGAGTGCTGTGGTGTCACCTCAACTCACTGCAACCTTGGCCTCCCAGGCTCAAGTGATCCTCCCACCTCAGACTCCTGAGTAGCTGGGACTACAGGCACCCACCACCATACTTGGTTAATTTGTGTAGTTTTTGTAGAGACAGGGTTTCACCATGTTGCCCATGCTGGTCTCCAACTCCTGGGCTTAAGCGATCCACCTGCCTTGGCTCCAAATGTACTGGGATTACAGGCGTGAGCCACCGCACTTGACCAAGAACATTCCTTTAAAGCAAAATACCAATATCAGAAAACATACTAGAATCAATTTATAAAATTTCCTAGAACAGTAAAAATATCTATGCAAACTTAAAAAGTATTTAAGTGATGATAAACTTCAAAGTACATTTTACCTTACAATAAAAAACAAATAGTGTTTTCAATTTGTAAAACTTCAGATAAGTCAATAAGATAAAGACTATTACCACAAAAAAAAACAATGAATAAAGATTCTAAAAAGTTAATTTACAAAAGGAGACGTAAGCATGAAATATAAAAATTGTTTACTCATGCTTGTGAAAGCAATGAAAATTATGACAGCAATAATATCTAATGATTATTTATACAATTGGGATATAGTTATGTTAGATAGGTAGATCTCTGGGGAAAAGCCACCCTGAAACTGTAAACAACAGAAAAAGCTGGGGAATTTGGATGATTAAAACCACCATAGACAGTGAGTGAGTGAGTGATGCTGAGTTGGAGAGCGCCAACAAGTGAGGACCATTATAGATTATGGAAAATTCTGAATTGAGAGCAAGCAGTTGTGAGTGTCTCTCAGTCACTGGTGAGAGAAAAGGGTAAGTCAGTTATTTCCTCTAAGGTACAAATATTGGTTCCAGGAAGACATGGGCTCGTCTCAGGAGGCTAAATAAAAAACTCTAAGGAAATGCATGCATGCTTATGAAGAACCTTTCATTGATCTCTTCCTGTTGGTTTTGTACACATCAAGGGAACCTAAAAGCTGAAGAGGAATCCTATCCTCTGAGGCATAAATCAACTTAAGTTTCTACCCATATTCATTTCCATTCCCTGCACTTCAACTAGTTTGGTCCCTAAATAGAAAAAGACCACTCCTCCTTAACACTGTATCTGTTCTTTGAGTGGTATCTTGCAAACTTAGCACCTGTACACAGCACGTGGAAAGTGACAAATTGAGGCAAAAACTCAGATGAGTTTTACTATTGAAATGAATCACATACTGTAAGATGAGTTCTTAGAAATGTAGATTTAACTTATTTTCTCCTGCTTTTCTTCTTTACTTTATCTCAAACTTCCATTCAGACCTAAGATACTCGAGAATTGTTAAGACTTTGTTATAAAATCAGTTAGGTACATAGAAAGATAGTAATTGATGGGATACATATAGAGACAAAGTTGCTATGTATACTTCTATATGCTAATATGCAGCTCAAACATTGACCCTGCAGATTGAGACTCTTGCTTTAGGTCTCAGGCTACCTTGGACTTCATTGGATGAGGATTTTCACATTTCATCAAATCTGATCATGAAGCTATTCTGGGAATTGTTCCTCCTGGTGCAGTAGAAATTTCAGAGTATCTTGGTTCTATTTTAAAAGTTCTGATATCCATATTGGTGACTGCAGTAATCTCCTTTCTGCTATTTATTTACATATTTCAAAAACTTTTGTTTGAAGTAGCTTAAGCCACATTCCCTGGAGGTATCTTCTCTGGGATTTCTGAAGAGCAGAGATCACGGCTCTTCTCGCACTGGTGAACAAGTTTCATAGTGTCTGCCCACTGAACAATTAGTAAGAATCCTGAACTAAGACAACATTTTGTATTAATATTAGTATTAAGCAAAGAACCTTATTTTGGCCCCAATTTCCATTACACAGAATCCCAGCTTCTCTTGACATCAAGGTGACATAGGCCCCTCTTCTTGCATTGGTCCCATTTTTCCTGTCTCAGGTTCTAGGTCTTAATTAAGATGCACAGACTTGATGGAACTGTCTTCCTTGTGAGATCATTCATCACCTGGGTTTATGAGAATGAGGAGTAAAGGAAGATGGTGGAGGCAACACATAATATCTAACAAAGCCAATATTAGAGTATATTTAGAAACCTAGGGTAGAAGAAGTATGAAAGACAGCTGGCCCCTACCCAGTAGATTGTGTTCGGCAGAGCATGTATGAATGCCATGTTCTCAGAACCGCATAGGAAGTGTTCTAGGGTAACAGAAATGGGGGCAGGCGGCAGTCATGCATGAGGCTTGGTGCTCTCTGGATCATTTGGGAGGTCGTGGGAATCCCATTATGGAGTTGCGCTGAGATTCTTACCTGCTCTGAGAGGAGCCCTTTAAGGGCAGGCAGTAGTGAGGACATTAGTAACAGTATCAGGCATAAAATCGTCCACAAAGACCTTGCTCTTAGATTCAGAAGGACTCTCTGAAAACACTAAAAGAATATATGTACTCTCTTTCTCCCTAAGATCAAAACTGGAAATTCTGTAATACTGCTGCAAGGCACAATATGGTAAGACTCACTGTCATTTACTGAGCAGTTATTTCCTGCCAGTCACAGTACTTAGTACTTTATATGTATCATCTTATTTAATGCTTATAACTTCTCAGTGAGGTAGGTGATGTTAGTAATGTCAAATAACATACGAAGAAACTAGAAAATGATTTAGCTGTACTGTTCAGTTTTCAAATATTCCCAGCCACTAGCAATTAAATTCTTGGTGTTTTTTTTTGTTGTTTTGTTTTTGTTTTTTTTTTTTTAAGTTTTCTCATGAGCAAGGAAGCAAAACTGAATGTGGTAGGTAGAATTTGCAGTAGCCTTCAAGATTCCTGCCCTCTAGTATATACTTTCTGTTTAATAACCATCCTTTGAGTATGCCTGGGACCTGTTAATACGATGGAATATCACCCCTGTGACTGCATTACATAACATTATGTAATAGTTTGTCATAGCAAACTGGAGAGAGTTTATCTCATTGGTTTTGAAGAAGACACCTGTGGTGTTTTAAGAAGGCCAAGTAGCTAGGACTTTCTTGGACCTTGGGTGACGTCAGTAAGTCGAGAGTTATATGTCCTGCCAACAAACAGCAAGAAAACTGTGATCTGAGTCCTAAACTGCAAGAAACTGAATTGTGCCAACAACCACAAGAAGCTTGGAGAATGATCCCCAGCCCCAGATGAGATTGCAGCCCTTGGTGATATGTTGATTAAAACCTGATGAGAGCTAAACAGAGGGCCCAGCTGACCTGGGCGATACAATACATTTGCATGTTTTATGCCAGTTAAGTTTGTGGTAATTTATACACCTATCGAAATATAAGACAATGTGTTTCTCCTAATTTCTTCCACATGTGTCTCTGTGTGTGCATATGTGAGACAGAGAGAGAGACTAGGAAATCACTTTATTGGTTTATAAAGGAAGATTTGTAACAAGCAAAGTCCACGATAACTCCAGAATTATCTACCTGGTTGATGCAGTTTCCACGTAGAGAATGGATTCTCATTTCTCAATTAAGTGCTAAATGCTGCGTGCTCTTTATATCCCCAGAAGGAGAGAAACCAAGGGTGAGAAGAAATGTCCAGCGCCAGCCTCGTGACAGCATTCATTCTCACGGGCCTTCCCCATGCCCCAGCACTGGACGCCCCACTCTTTGGAATCTTCCTGGTGGTTTATGTGCTCACTGTGTTGGGGAACCTCCTCATCCTGCTGGCGATCAGGGTGGATTCTCACCTCCACACCCCCATGTACTCCTTCCTCACCAACCTGTCCTTCATTGACATGTGGTTCTCCACTGTCACGGTGCCCAAAATGCTGATGAGCTTGGTGTCTCCAAGCGGGAGGACTATCTCCTTCCACAGCTGTGTGGCTCAGCTCTATTTCTTTCACTTCCTGGGGAGCACCAAGTGTTTCCTCTACACGGTCATGTCCTATGATCGCTACCTGGCCATCAGTTACCCGCTCAGGTACACCAGCATGATGAGCGGGTGCTCGTGTGCTCTCCTGGCCACCAGCACTTGGCTCAGTGGCTCTCTGCACTCTGCTGTCCAGACCATATTGACTTTCCATTTGCCCTACTGTGGACCCAACCAGATCCAGCACTATTTGTGTGATGCACCGCCCATCCTGAAACTGGCCTGTGCAGACACCACAGCCATTGAGATTGTCATTTTTGTGACTGTTGGAATAGTGGCCTCGGGCTGCTTTCTTCTGATAGTGGTGTCCTACGTGTCCATTATCTATTCCATCCTTCGGATCCACACCTCAGAAGGGAGATGCAGAGCCTTTCAGACCTGTGCCCCCCACTGCATCGTGGTCCTTTGCTTCTTTGGTCCTGGTCTTTTCATTTACCTGAGACCAGGCTCCAGGAAAGCTGTGGATGGGGTTGTGGCTGTTTTCTACACTGTGCTGACGCCCCTTCTCAACCCTGTTGTGTACACCCTGAGGAACAAGGAGGTGAAGAAAGCTCTGTTGAAGCTGAAATACAAAGTAGCACATTCTCAGAGCAAATAAACACTAGGGAATAAATACCCTCATTTTTTCAAAATTAACACTAAAATTCATTGTTAACATGAATTTTATTGCATGAATACCCCATTCTGAGTGTTAAACATTATTCAAAACTACTGGCTCAGGAATATTTGCTTCACAGAGATTTCTAAGGAATTGCAAAGTCACAATTAGATTTCTTTTAGTTATGATGAATGTGCATATATTCTGAATATGGACTTGTTTCCTGCAATAGGCTAATTTCCCCCTTTTACAAAAATAAATATTCCAATTTAATCTCGGATACCAGGTTGAGTTATTCATATGTCCTAGTTGGTAATATGTTTAAATATTTTGGTTTATTTCTTATGCACACAAACCAAGGAATCTGAAATCATAGGGATATTGTTCAATGAGAGCAACAAATATCAGAGGTCATTTACTCACGGCTGCGGCTGTGCAAATGCCTTCTTAATATTTTTTGCACTTGTGCCTTTGTGTGTGTGTGCTCGCACGTGTGCTTGCTTGTGAAAGTGGGTTTCAAAGTGTTAATTCTCCTTCCCAGCATATCTTGTCCCTGGTTATCGCTCTTGCGTTAAAAAAGTCTTAATCTTCCCATCAGCCTTTTATCATTTAAGCAGGACTGCTAGGACCAGCTCTGGCACTAACGTGTGCCTTTCAATAACTAGGGCCATTGCCATCTTGCAAGAGCCCTTCAAATTTTTTCAGGAGGAAGTTAACAGCACATACCTCGAGTTGCACTCATATATTCTGACTTTGAATTCCCTGTTCTACCTAACCAGATACCTATAGTTAGCACAAAGCAGGGACGCTGAGTCCTCTTCCTGCAGACAGTCGTGGCTGGTCATGCTGTCCAGATAGCTCCTTTCACAACGTTCTTAGTGTCTTGGAAATTCAGTCGCACCAAACTCCAGTTGCACCTGCTCCAGGGCAGGGATGTCCCACACTACAGAGTAGGACAAATTGTGTTTGCTGTTTAGAAAGTAGAAAAATAGGTACGGCATGGTGGCTCATGCCTGTAATCCCAGAACTTTGGGAGGTCGAGGCAGGCGGATCATGAGGTCAGGAGTTCGAGACCAGCCTGACTAATATGGTGAAATTCTGTCTGTGCTAAAAATATAAAACTTAGCTAGACGTAGTGGCGCGCGCCTGTAATCCCAACTACTCAGGAGGCTGAGGCAGGAGAATCCCCTTATACATATTCCATGTATAAGTGAGATCATACAGTATTTGTCTTTCTATATCTGGCTTATTTCACTAAGCTTAATGTCCTCCAGGTTCATCCATGTTGCCTCAAATGACAGAATTTCCTTTTTTTAAGGCATAATAATGTATGTATTTGAGTACCACATTTTCTTTATCTATTAATCTGTTTATGGCCACTTAGTTTATTTCCATATCTTGGCTATTGTTAATAATTCCAAAATGAACATGAAAGTACAGACATCGCTTCAACATAATGATTTGTTTTCTTTTGGATATATACCCAGAAGTGGAATTCCTGTAAAATATGGCAATTCCATTTTTAATTTTTTGAGGAACATCCATACTGCTTTCTGTAATGGCTGTGCCAATTTTTCATTGCTACAAGCAATATACAAAGATTCTCTTTTTTTCCTACATCTTTGCCAACATGTATTATCTTTCGACTTTTTAATAAGAGCCATCCTGATAGGTGTGAGGTGACATTTCATTATAATTTTGGTTTGTACTTCTGTGATGATTAATGATGTTGAGCATCTTTTCATATACCTTTTGGCCATTTGTATGTTTTCTTTGGGAAAAAAGTCTATCTAACTCCTTTGCCCATTTTGTGTTTAGGTTATTTGTTTTTGTTTTATTTATTTGTTTTCCTTTTTCTACTGAGTTTGTGAGTTCTTTACATATTTTGAATATTAATCTTTTATCAAACACATAGTTTCTCAATACTTTTTCCCACTTTGTAGGCTGCCTTTTCATTTTCTTGATTATTTCCTTTGCTGTGAAGAAACTTTTTAGTTTGATACAGTCCCACTTAATCATGCTAAATGTAATTATTCTAGCTTAAATAAGCGGTAAAATAGTAAACAGTGTTAAGCTTGTGAATGCTAGACATTTTATAAGGATTATATCAGTTTAATCACTACAAGAACCTAGAAGATAACACTGTTATCCAAATTCACATGATTAGTGAGGAATATAGTCAAAGTTTAATTCCAGACTATCTGGCACCAAGATCCAAGGTGTTAACCTCTATGCTACATTGTTATCACAAATTCAAGAACTTTCTGTTTTAGGGGGGAGGGAGAGGGCAAGATTAATAAATATCAAGAATCATAGACATAACAAAGCACTTATTTTTCTATAGCTACATATATTTTATATATCAAGGTGGATTTTTAAATTACCTTTTCCCCATATAATATAAAAGGCATCTTATCCACTCTTCTAGCTCCACCTGACTTCAATTCTAAATACCTCATTAGACTGCATCATCCCGTCTGCTTTCATATGTGCTCCACATTAAGCTTCAGACTCCTCAAAGAAAAATTCTGTATTAGTGCTATAGTAATTAATTTATATGAATCTCTGTCTGTTTTTTCTAGAACATTTCTCTGACTTCTGACCCCTTTCATCTCCATAAATGTTTACTTACTTTCTCAGGGACCCACCTTCTGATCCTCACTCATTACATTAGATATCGCTCCAAAACAGATGACTTCCTTTTTTTCCACCAAGTTCCGACTTTCATGATTTGAATTCATAATAGTTTTAGTTTGCTAGATATTTCCATTTGGGTATAATGCTATTGCTTCACACTCCACATGTCTAAAACAAAACCTTTTATTTTCTCCTCTGCAGCTCCATTATTTGTCTTTTATATGCCATGATAAACCTAATAAAAGATACCCTGAAACTTGGAGGCCCTGCCTATAATCCTCCCTCAGACATTTCTTCTTCAGGCAATGGGAAAAGGGGTAAGAGAAAGGATAAAGAAGAGGACAAGGGTGGTGGGATGCCATGAAACATTAGTAAAAGCTCTAGAAAAGAAGAGCTAATGTTAATACTTCAATAATGAATCTTTTACATTATTAAATAATAATTAGGGCAACGTCATTTTATAAATACTTTATTGCATTATTATTATGCTCTCAGATCCATTAGTACTATTTTCTAAAGAGAAAAAGAAACAAAGGAATCAAAATTGATGTTTGCATTTCATATAGGGTATGAAAAAACTCAGCAAATATTTCACCACATTATACTATGTTTTGATGTATTCTCTTGGGTTTTTCCTCAAAATAGCAGCTCTGAACTGAGAGGTTATCCACAGGGGTTCATTATTAGTGGTGTCATTTCTCTGTTAACTTGTATTTCTAAAATATTGTATGGATGTGGAAATGATGTATCTGATTGATTCCCTGGAGCTACATTTTTCTGCTTTAATTAGTAGTTGAAAAGAGTTTAAATTATAAAAGGTAAATAGCTAATACCTAAGAAGAAACTGGTTCAAATTCTAAATGAATAGGGTAATTTTTATCACCATCCCAAAGCTGATACTTGTTTATCAGTTCAGTCCTTTTTTCTCAATTAATTAATCAATGCAATAATTCCTTCAACCATTTCAATTAGATTGACTACTATGTTTCTGGCATAGAAGATACAGAACTTCAAGACGTGATTTATGTTCCAGAACTCTAGAGTCCAGTGCAAAGCACATAAGTGAACAGATGGACTTCAAAGTGTCATAAAGTGTATGTGAGGCACTATAGTAAACCACGTGTCATCTAACACAGATTAAGTAATGGAGTGAACCACTATCTGAAGGTTCAGAGAATTACACATACAAATAACAAAGGCCCTCCCTGATTAAATAATTTATTATAATTAATATGTACACTATAAATAATATAAACTTGATTAAAGTTCATTTGTTTTGAGATGTACCCCAGGTTCACGGAGCTTTCATTTTCCATGCCAAATCTTCCTGTATTTGAATCTGAATTCTAACAAGAGGAAAATTGAGCAGAAGATGCTAAAACCAAAGCTTTGCACATGTTCTTTTATTTCTTCATAATCTCAATGTTCATCCAATGCATACATTTTGGCCAGGACCTCCATGTCTCTGCAGGTAGAGAGGAGGGAGTTTTACACTGACTGCATTAAGATGTTTACAGTGTAACTAAATTTTTCTCACACAGTGGGAAACATTGTTTAAAATCTAAAATTAAAAAAGATATCTCTTCCTTAAAGGGTAAAATAGGGGGACATTTTCAAGACAATTGTTATCATACCCTAATTCAAAGTTATCATTGGCAAAATATTTTAATGGACTTTCTTTTCAGATTTAGGGCATCCATACTATCAAAATAACCAGGGACCATTCCTACTAAATCAAAAAGGACATTCGTGAAACCCTAAAGGTTCAATATCACCTTATCCATCTAATGCATCCACGGTCAGTGGAAGCAGTGGAAAGCCATAATGGAATTTTGAACACTTGATTGAGATTTGTGCAGCCACAAGTCAGGAGTGGTCAGATATATTGATGACAGCACTTAGAATCATTAGATACAAATAGAAAAGAGAGACTCTGCTGAAGTGAAATATTAATAGATAAGACATATGAGACTTTCTATTACTCCTCTAAAGGCAGCCCCCTGGCTAGTTATATGTTCACATGTTTGATTTTGTGGTCTTAGAGTATTTCAAAGGATTAATGAAGTGTGTTGAGCCATTTACAGGTACATGAAGCTCTAAAAATCAACATGCAAGAACAATGCTGTAATCATTTGACAAAGGCCATCCTAAGTTCTGTTTAGCACTTAGAATGCAATACACAGGGATTGCTGATACACTTTTCTTGTGTTCAGAAACGTTCATGGTAGACTCCAAGAATTTGTTGCCATTACAAGTCAATTTCTATCCAGCTGGCATGATTTTAAACTTAACTAAGACTTGTTGACAAATAGGAGAAATCTCGAGACCATGACGGAGTTTTTCCCTTCTGTTACAGTGTTTTCTATCTTTAGCATTTCCTTTTGATTCTTAGAGTTTTCAACTCTCTGCTCACATTACCCATCTGTTCTTTTATGACTTTTATTTTTTCTATTAGACTTTTTGACGTATTTTACACTCCCTCTCTGATAATTCTAACATCTATGTCATATGTGGAACTGTTTCTGATGATTGTTTTATCTCTTTAGATTAGGCTGTTTTTCTTTTTTTAAGAATTTTATTTATATAAATTTATGGACTACAAGCGTAATTTTGTCATGTGGATAGATTGCATAGTGGTGAAATCAGGGCTTCTAGGGTGTCT